CTAGCAGCCTCCTGTTCTACCTTTCTGCTGCCCAGCATGTCTGGCCTGCAGCTCAAGGGGCTCTGCGTGGGCACCAGGCTGAACACAGAGTCGCCTAGGGGTGCTGGGCTGTGTACACTGGCTTGTTATTGTAGGGTTGCCTGTGAGCGCTGGGCTGTGTACACTGGCTTGTTAGTGTAGGGTTGCCTGTGAGCGCTGGGCTGTGTACACTGGCTTGTTATTGTAGGGTTGCCTGTGAGCGCTGGGCTGTGTACACTGGCTTGTTATTGTAGGGTTGCCTGTGAGCGCTGGGCTGTGTACACTGGCTTGTTAGTGTAGGGTTGCCTGTGAGCGCTGGGCTGTGTACACTGGCTTGTTAGTGTAGGGTTGCCTGTGAGCGCTGGGCTGTGTACACTGGCTTGTTAGTGTAGGGTTGCCTGTGAGCGCTGGGCTGTGTACACTGGCTTGTTAGTGTAGGGTTGCCTGTGAGCGCTGGGCTGTGTACACTGGCTTGTTAGTGTAGGGTTGCCTGTGAGCGCTGGGCTGTGTACACTGGCTTGTTAGTGTAGGGTTGCCTGTGAGCGCTGGGCTGTGTACACTGGCTTGTTAGTGTAGGGTTGCCTGTGAGCGCTGGGCTGTGTACACTGGCTTGTTAGTGTAGGGTTGCCTGTGAGCGCTGGGCTGTGTACACTGGCTTGTTAGTGTAGGGTTGCCTGTGAGCGCTGGGCTGTGTACACTGGCTTGTTAGTGTAGGGTTGCCTGTGAGCGCTGGGCTGTGTACACTGGCTTGTTAGTGTAGGGTTGCCTGTGAGCGCTGGGCTGTGTACACTGGCTTGTTAGTGTAGGGTTGCCTGTGAGCGCTGGGCTGTGTACACTGGCTTGTTATTGTAGGGTTGCCTGTGAGCGCTGGGCTGTGTACACTGGCTTGTTATTGTAGGGTTGCCTGTGAGCGCTGGGCTGTGTACACTGGCTTGTTATTGTAGGGTTGCCTGTGAGCGCTGGGCTGTGTACACTGGCTTGTTATTGTAGGGTTGCCTGTGAGCGCTGGGCTGTGTACACTGGCTTGTTATTGTAGGGTTGCCTGTGAGCGCTGGGCTGTGTACACTGGTTTGTTAGTGTAGGGTTGCCTGTGAGCACTGGGCTGTGTACACTGGTTTGTTATTGTAGGGTTTCCTGTGAGTGCTGGGCTGTGTACACTGGTTTGTTATTGTAGGGTTGCCTGTGAGCACTGGGCTGTGTACACTGGTTTGTTATTGTAGGGTTGCCTGTGAGCACTGGGCTGTGTACACTGGTTTGTTATTGTAGGGTTTCCTGTGAGCACTGGGCTGTGTACACTGGTTTGTTATTGTAGGGTTGCCTGTGAGCACTGGGCTGTGTACACTGGTTTGTTATTGTAGGGTTTCCTGTGAGCACTGGGCTGTGTACACTGGTTTGTTATTGTAGGGTTGCCTGTGAGCGCCGGGCTCCCCACTTGTCCTCTCCACCCCATCCAGAAAGCAGAATGGGAAACAGGGGAGTGGTGCCCGGTGTGGGCAGAGACTGGGGAGAGCTAGAGCCAGCGTTGATGGAGCAAATTCTAGGCGGCAGGGCAGAGACAAGGAAGGGCGCCAGGAGCCCCGCGGATGTTTGTTTGTTCGGCAGGCAGCAGGGCTGCTAGATCCCCAGGAGCGGCGGGGGAGCCGCTCTCCCCGCTGGTTCCAGGAATGGAGCAGACGCTGCTGGAGAGCAGCCAGGAGAGGGGACGCTGGGCGCATGGGGGAAGGCATGCGGCACCCCGGGAGGTGCCAGAGGGCAGATCGGCATGCTGGCGCCGTGGGCAGCAATAGGGAAGATCGTCTCCTCTGCTCGCTCTCCCCGCTGCTGCCAGGAATGGAGCAGACGCTGCTGGAGAGCAGCCAGGAGAGGGGACGCTGGGCGCATGGGGGAAGGCATGCGGCACCCCGGGAGGTGCCAGAGGGCAGATCGGCATGCTGGCGCCGTGGGCAGCAATAGGGAAGATCGTCTCCTCTGCTCGGAGAGAACGTTCCTCTGCCTTTTGTTTGCATCTCTCGTTCCCGCTGCTGCCAGGAATGGAGCAGACGCTGCTGGAGAGCAGCCAGGAGAGGGGACGCTGGGCGCATGGGGGAAGGCATGCGGCACCCCGGGAGGTGCCAGAGGGCAGATCGGCATGCTGGCGCCGTGGGCAGCAATAGGGAAGATCGTCTCCTCTGCTCGGAGAGAACGTTCCTCTGCCTTTTGTTTGCATCTCTCGTTAGAAATCCGCAAGATCCCGTGACTGGGGACCAGCCAGAAGAAAGAGAGACAGACAGAGAGGCAGAGAGACAGATGGAAAGACAGACACACAGAAAGACAGAGGGACAGACAGAAAACCAGGCAGACAGAAAGAAAGACAGAGAGGGTGTGTCTAGACTACAGGGTTTTTCGAAAAAAACGCCCCCTGCGTCTAGACTGCTGCCGTGTTCTTTCGAAAGTAAATCAAAAGAACACGGCAGTTTTTTCGACCGCGGAAAACCTCTTTTTACGAGGAATCACGCCTTTCTTTGAAATCGCTCTTTCGAAAAAAGGCGCTATGTCATGCAAACTGTGCTTTTTCGAAAGAGAGCATCCAGACTGGGTTCGGACTTTTGCCCGAACGGGAGCAGCATAGTATTTCCGCAAGAAGCACTGATTTCTTACAGTAGGAAGTCAGTGCTTTTGCGGAAATTCAAGCGGCCAGTGTAGACAGCTGGCAAGTTTTTCCGGAAAAGCTGACTGTCCTGTGAACAGGGGTCTTCTGGCATCCTTTTCAAGACAGAGACAGAGAGAGACAAACAGAGAGACAGAGAGAGACAGAAAGAGACAGAGAGACAGACAGGGAGAGACAGGGAGAGACAGACAGACAGACAGACAGACAGAAAAACAGAGAGACAGAGACAGAGAGAGACAAACAGAGACTCCCAGGTGCCGCTCCAAAGAGAGACAGAGAAACAGCAAGACAGACAGAGACAGACAGAGAGACAGACAGAAAGTCAGCAAGACAGAGAAACAGACTCGCCATCTCTTTCCAGGCCATGCAGTGTTTTAGCCTCGTGAGACCCTGTCCCGTCCAGGTTGCTCCCCCTGGGCGCAAGAAGGGCTTTACCGGGAAGATGTGTTCAAAAGTCAAGCCCCAAGAGCGCCTTATTAAAACCAGCTCACATCTTGCCCTGGGCTCACTGAGACCTATTAGCCAGCATGCAGGGGGGCTCAGGCCTGCCCATTAGTATGCAGGAGAGCACAGCCCCCCCCTCCCAGGTGCCGCTCTGTGGCCAGCTTGGATTTGTGGGTAGAGGGGGGGTTCCCCGGATCTTGACACGGCTAAGGCCAGTCCGCAGGATGCTAAGGCTGCAGCTCGAGGCTGTAACAAAGCCCTTGGACGGGCAGGGAACTTCCAGACCCAGGCAAGGCAGCGTTCTGGGGTCAGGCGCCATGCGCCACTCCCCAGGATGCCCCCAAACCACACTGGGGGTGATCAGAGCACTCCTGCAGGGGAAGGGACCCGCCTGGGGCTTCTCTGCCCCATGGCTCCTTCCAGGGAGAGATGCTCCCGGCTGCTTGCTCTACGCCTATGCAGGGAGGTTTCTGCCATCTGGGATGGCCTGGCCAGGGAGCTGCCACCAGGATGGGGGGCCAGGGAGGGAGACAGGCCAGGAGGGTCTGTCTGCACTGTGTGGCAGTCGGGGAACCTGCCTGGCTCACTCCACAGGCAGTGCTCAGGATGCATCTACACTGCACCGTAACGCAAAATAAGAGACGCAATTTGGATTCCGATGCTATTTCGAAATAGCTGATTTCGTCCTTTGGCGCTGTCTGCACTGCCCCACATTTCAAAATAACCCGCCATGCCGGAGACCAGGGTCCTCGTGGGACCAGGCTTGCCGGGACGTCGGAATAGCGAGCCTGAAATAACGGGCTGGCTGTGAAGACACGGGAGAGCTATTTCGGGATACTCCGGTATCCTGAAATAGCCGCGCAGTGTAGACGTAGCCTGAGTGTAACACCCAGAGCTCGGTGACACCGGGAATGCCTGTCCCGGGAAACTCTCCAGATTCCACATCCGGTTGTGTCCCAAAATGGGACCAAAAGAAAGTCAAACCCTGGGAATTTTTCCCGCAAGGAAACATTCCCCCAAGATTTTGTCCGGCTCTCATGGGTGGCCTGTTCATCCGTTTGTTCACTCCATTCCACTTCTCTCTCTTTCTCTAGGGCCTTGGGGTCTAGCTACATCATTTTCTGGATTGCTCTCCCCCCTCCCCCCCCCGGTCTCTCTCTACACCCTGGTTTTTAGCAGCTGGGCAGACCTGCTGGTGGAGCGCCAGCCCAGGAATCCTCTCTCCGGG